TAGAGTACTAGATGAAGTTGCAGGGGCTTGCGTTCCCAGGCCACATGCACATGTTACTTTTTTTTTGACCTGTAGAGCCTCCATGCAGGATCGAGACTTGGCCAAGGGGACTGCAGAGAGAAAGATGGGGCCCCTGTGCTATTTATTTTAAATGGGTTCTGTGTGTGTGCATAAGGAGTTCACAGAAGTGTGCACGTGTTGCAATGGCACCGGGTTGAGCGTGTGTGCCTGCTGACAGGCTGTGATAGTTTTTAGTACACACATCACCGGGGCAGGTGTGGCTGCTTTCCCAACCCTCATCGTCCTGTTCCCCCTCCCCTCCCCACACCTGTGTCCAGCTGGGATGCCTACACGCGCAGGAGCATTCGGGGCTCTTCACTCCCAGGCGTTTTAGCAGCCTCCAGCAGCCCCCAGTGTTTGCTGCTCTGTGAAGACGAGAGGGAAGATGCTCACTGTCCACTGCCCTCTGGCACCACCTGCTCTGTCTCCTGTGAGGCAGGATGTTGGAGGCCCCCAGAAACTGACTGCAGGCTCCACGTGCCACGGCCTGTGAGCAGTGACCTAGGCAGGGAAAAATCCCTTCCCTTGGACACATAGCCTTGGCCACCTCAATCGCAGTCCTCTTTTCAGCCTATTAGAACTGGCTGGAGAAACACCTACTTTTGGAACTTTTCCCGGTTTTCTAATTAATGGCTTCTTAGACTAGCTGCTGTTTCTAAGGCTTTCCTGAAGTCTGACAGAAACCTGCCTGCGCCCCAGAACTGTCAGGTTGGTATTGCTTGCCAGGGCCCCGTACAGAGTCCAGAGCATGCTATTTTTAATACGAAGTCATTTTTGTTTTACTGTATCCATATCCTCATAGAAAAAAACAGGAAAGTATAAAGGAGAAACCCACCATCCAGGAGTAACTGTCACCCTTTATGCTTTCACTGCGATTCTTTCTAGTTTTATTTATATACACACACTCCCCCACCTCCCCCCTTTGACAGTTGATTTCCATGGGCTTTTGATAATACTCTTTTCCCAGAAGTCCTGAGATTTTCCACATTATTTTTAAAACATTCTAAGAACATTGTTGTTCTTGTTCCTGTGCTTGCACTTAAGGATACACATACGCATCAGGCACCTAACTGCTTCCCATATAGGCTAAATCCTGTTTCCTAGATCAAAGTTTTTGTGGTGATATTTTAATTTAATCCAGTATTCATTCATTCACTCATTCTTTCTTTCTTTTAATTTTTTAAAATTTAATTTAATTTTTTTTTTTTTAATTTGACCAGAGAGGAGAGAGAAAGTAAGAAAGCAAGCTGCCAGGACTTGAACTGCAGTCGGCCATGTGGGAGTCCAGTATCCTTAACCACCATGCCACCTGCCAGCCCCTTTCTTTTTTAGAGAGAGATTTTTGCTATAGGGTGTGTGCACTCACCAGAAAGACAGAGACAGAGAGATAGAAAGTGAGAAATCACACCCCAGCGGGGATAGTTACATCATAATCCCTTCTTCTCCCACTCTTCTCTCAGGTTCTTGGGCATGCATACACATGCACCCGGCATGAGTTTTAAGCTGCCAGGTCCAGGACTCAAATCACAGTCGACCATGTGGGAGTCCATTGACGTAACTTATTATGCCATCTGTTGGTCCCAGTTTTATTTCTTTTAAAAAGATTCCTGGACATAAAGTTACTGGGTCAGAGAATATAAAAGTAGATAAGATAGCATTTATTTTGTGTGTTTCTATATTAGAGAAAATAGAATTGCCCTCCAGAAACCAGACACTTGTTTATGCTCTTTTCTGGCTTATGCATCCTCAGTGAAGGCAAACTTGATACTTGGTGAGTGAGGGAGTCTTCAAGATGTTAAGGTTCATGGCCTCTCGTGGGCCACAGCGCATACATGTGTGCAGTATTTTTGTGGTGCTAAAATTTCATACAACACACGTTCATATCTGTGAACTCATTAAGTATATGCTGAGAATCCATTTAAAATAACTTCCTCCTCACCATAATAAAAAAAGGTTGAGAAGCAATCTTTTAGCTGTTGGTGACTCCACGTATCTCTCTCCACCCTTGGCAACTTTAAAATGTTTTGGGATTTGGATTTTTGGGCTTAGAAGAATTTTTCTGATATAGCAGTTGACTTTAGGGACTGAAGAAAGGTGTGAATCCAGTGTACCTGGAGGTTACCATTGTTCGTGTTTTTATCTTGGTACAGGCTTGGGCTTCCCCACGTTTCTCTGTGTTCAGCCTTTTTCACATAATTGCTGTGTAACATTCTCAGTGTCAGTCTGTGCCAAGGACCACTTCAAAATATACCTTGCCTTATGGTGTCACGCTGGGGTTTCCCCTGTCCCTATGCCTGGAAATGCATTTGGGACCTCACAGGCGTCAGGTTTGGGCCCTAGGAGCCCAGGTACCTGCTGCTCTGGGACTTGGAATAATTGTCCCTTGTTTGTTTCAGGTGTGATCCCGTGGGCCCGTTTGCTGTCGGAGGAGAAGACCTGGACCCCTTTGGGTGAGTACTGCTGGGGAGGCGGCAGCAAGCAACATCACTTGCTCTCGTGGCTCTTTAGCCCCAGCTCATCTTCTAATTTTAGAGCTTTACACCAGACTCTTCCTTTGGGGTGAAGGAGGCAGTTGTGGCAGAACAACTGCGAAATCATTGCCACTTACTCTGCCCTGCCCTGCCCCGCCTAGAGCAGTGCTGGAGAGCTCTGCGTGCTGGTGAGGCCAAGCAAACCCCGCGTACAGGTTCTCAGTGGTTGCCCGAGTCTCCGCGCCCCTGGGGGAGGGCAGCAGCCTTCCCTTGGATGGAAGGATTCCACAAGGATGTGTGGGGTGCAGGTTGACTAGCACATGGTGGGCCACAGACCTTAGGGCAGCCCACAGCTTTGCAGAGGTTACCTGACTTGATAAAGTGAGTCTCTGAGCCCCATGAGACTCTCTGGTTCTCATCATATATCCAGTAAGTCATTACAGCCCTAGCTGTGCACTGTCCTCTCGGAATGATTTAGGCTACATTTTAACCTCTGCTGCAAAGCGACACCAACTTTAGCACCTCATTTTTAGACAGTGAGAGAATCAGTTAAGCTTACAGTGTTGTAGCTTGAATAGTGACCTCATGTTTGGGGAATCTCAGTTCATTCATCCTAGTCTGAGCACATGAAGTCAGTCCACGAAACTCCATGAGAGAGAGATGCTGTGAAGAGCCAGACTCAGGCAGCCCATAGGCAGTCAGAAGTTGCCGCAAGGCCCTTAATGGATACGGCCAAAAACTAGCAGCACGCATTGTCTCAATACTGTTGTTAATTCCTCCACGTTAAGTGACCCCCTGTAGAGCTTGTGATGGTTTTGCATTGACCCTGGCAAACTCTGGCTCCTGATCCTCCTGATCTGGGTACAGGACTCCACAGTGATAAGAATGGAAGTGTGGACTCAGGAAGCCCTGTAGAACCTGAGTGCAGGCCCCTTGGTGGGAAAAGTGTGCTCCTTGCGTAGACTTTGTGTGCTTACTCTTTTCCACCGCCTGCTGGCCTTCAGGCAGCCGTCATGTATCTGCTTGGACCATCTAGAGTGGACATTCCTGCCCCTCCTAGTGCATAAGCAAAAAAAAAATCCTAGTGCATACGCACCCTCCTCACCTCTTCTCCAAGGGCATTCCCTGCCATCCCTGCTTACCCATCTTTCCTTCTTGCCTCAGGTGTCGGAGAGGTGGCATGATTGTGGATCCTCTGAGATCTGGCTTCCCAAGAGCACTTATTGACCCATCCTCAGGCCTCCCAAACCGACTTCCTCCAGGCGCTGTGCCCCCAGGAGCTCGCTTTGACCCCTTTGGACCCATTGGGACCAGCCCATCTGGGTAGGTGTTCATTCAGGTCTGCTGAGAAGTGGGGCCTGATGGCAGCTCAGCTTAGCATTGCAGCACAGAGGTGTCTGACACCAGGTGCAGAGTCACCACTGCCTGCCCTGCCACTGCCATGAGAGTGGGGCCTTCCAGGAGCTCTGTATCCCTTGGGCCTCCCTTACACAAGCTCTCTTCTGGGAGGATTCAGACAAGGAGGGAGAACTAACGCTTACTGAAAGTTAAGTGTACATTAGAAACTCACTGGGACTTCCATCAGCAATCTTGGATAGATAATACTATCCACATTCTACAGATACAGAAACTGAGGCCCTGAAAGATGAAATAGCTTAGCTAAGGTGGGAGAGTTGGGATTCAAACCCAGGCTTTCTAGCTCTAGAGTATATGCTCTTAAACTCCATAAACTACTGCATCATTTTGGAGGGCCAGCTCCCTCAGCACAGGGTCTTATCTGCCTGTGTACTTCCAGCCCCTCCATTGCTCCAACTCACAGCCCCTCTTTCCATTCCAGACCTAACCCAGATCATCTCCCTCCACCGGGCTACGATGACATGTACCTGTGAAGGCCTCAAGAATGTAACCTCCCAGCCCTCCCTCCACTCTCCTGGAGATGACACCGCTGGCCCCATCAGCAACCGTGTTCTTGCAGGCTGGGGGCAAGGGACTCTGCCCATGTGCTTGTGGGCCAGCCGGGATCGACTCCCCACCCCTTTTCAGAGCCGAGGCATCTGCTGCAGCTCTCCACCTGGCTGCATGTAGGTCCCAAAGAGAAATCAGTGTGTGTGTCTCACCACCAGCTTCTCCCCACTTCCCAGTGGAGACTCCGGCAACGTATATCCTCCACCCGATGCAGTCCCAGTTGCAGCGCTATAAGAACAGAACGCATTTTGGAAGTTATTATTAAGAACCAAATGTCAATACAAAATTCATGCTGCCGGTCTCCCACTTTTCTTTTTACCTTAATGAACAGCTCCTTCCAGTTATGAGACTAATTTAGAATTTGGGTCTTTGTTGGGGCTAAATGACTCTCATCCTACCTAGGGCCTAATCTTGCTTGTCAGACACCTTTTCATAAAATGCTGCCAACATCACTAAGATGTGTCCCAGTCTGGCTGCATGGATGGAAATGAGTGACTGGAAGTCCTATAAGTCACATGGGTGACTTTCATGGAGTGTTAACAATAAACACCAGCACTAATAACTAATAACCGTAGAAGACTGCAGAATCCTCCAGTTGTGCCTATTCTAGGCAGTCCTCAGTCCTCAGCCTGAGTAGAAGTAAGCTCCAAGCAGAAGAATAAATAGAGCAGACCCGATCTGCTCTGCTAATCTCAGTTTGCCAGTAACTTACTGAGTGACCCTAAGCCTTGTGCTACCCATGAAATCAGAGGTGCCTTCCCTGCCCTACAACATTCTGATGTATTTGTCTGTGTATGACAACCCTTCGGAACTGGGGCAAAAGGAAGAGTGAAGATTCGGGACTTCACATGGCACCTACCTAGAGGGTCTGGAACGAGAGCATGGGAACATGGGCCCCCTCTGAGTGTGGTGTTGAACTTCCGGAAGGGCAGGGATCCCTGGCCTTTGGATGCCTATGTCTGTGTCCAGCCCCTCCTAACTTTTCATGTTTTCTGGATCCTTTTCGACTCAAGGCCTGATAGCCATGGGCAATGATGAGCTCTGTGCTGGAGTGGGAAGTGCACCCTAAAGCACAAGGCTAAGAGGCAGGAGATCAGGGCTTTCGGCACACTCCACAGCTAGTGTTACCACCAGTGTGGGTCTTCCACTTCTCAGCTCCTTGCATTCCTTCCCCTAGACTAGGACACAGTATTCTCCTTTGGGCAGCAGGTACCATAGCTTTTCGGAGGTGTTCCTAGGGTGGTTGCTATAGCCTGGGATTGATTTGATTGCCTATCTGCTCAGCCCAAGGATGGGAGGGAATAACCAAACTGACACGTAGGCCCAGGGTCAGTGTCAGCTGGAGGAGCGGGTGGCCCCCTGGCTGCCGGTGGTCCCCACGTCAGGCACTGACTTAGTGAAGGGCCCAAAGGCAGGGAAGCCGACCTTGTTGAAGTCTGTAGAACATCTGTGGTCTGGAGGAAGACCTAGAGCTCAGGCAGAGGTGCAAAGGTGGCCGGTCATTAACCATGACCTTCCTTGAGGGCTCACAAGTAGATGGAATGTTAGCTTTTGTTTTGGAATTGGGCCATGTAACCAAAAGGACTTGGAGCAGTGTGCTCATAAAAACATCCTTTATTATAAAAGAAACCACTTAAAGGCACACCACACTAGGGGCCATCAGGCAAAGGGGGTAAGGCAGGCAACATGAAGGACCCTAATTGGAAGAAAAGATATGATTTAAATAATAGATTTGCCACTTAAGACTTTCTAGCAGCAAAGGTAAAAAAAGATAGTCATATACATAATTCTGTGGGTTTTTGCAAACAGAAAACTTAGTAATTCACTTGCAGCATTGGGCAGTTTTTGTGTTGGTCTCCTTGCCCCAAGGACACTGAGGAACACCATGTCTCAACTGCTACATGGGGGGAAGTGACTGGGCCTTCCTTTCCAGCCATGAGTAATCACCAAGCAATGGTGGGAATGTTTCAGGTGTATGTTTCATGAAACTCAAAAGATTGGAGCCTTAACAATAAACACCAGCACTAATAACCTGCTCTTTTTCTTTTTCTTTTCTTTTTTTTTAAATAACAACTTTATTGAGATATAATTCACATACCTATAACTTTATAGTTCAACCCTTCTAAAGTAGACAACTCAGTGGGTTTTAGTACATTCACAGTGTTGTGCAACCGTCACCATATCTAATTCCTGAATGTTTCACCGCCCCCCCCCAAAGAAACCTCATTTCCATTAGCAGTCACTCCCTGCTCCCCCCTCCCAGCCCCAGGCAACCACTAGTCTATCTTCTATCACTAAAGATATGCCTCTTCTGGATGGTTCTCATAAATGGAAGTGCTCAGTGTCTGGCCTTTTGTGCTGGCTCCTTTCACTTAGCATAATGTCTTCTGTATTGGTACTTCATTCCTTTTTGATGCCTGGACCCATTGTATGGTATATCACATGTTGTTTGTCCCCTTATCAGCTGGTAGACAGTTGGGTTGTTTCCACCTTTTGGCTGTTAGGAATAATGCTGCTTATTATTGAACAGTTCATGTACAAGCCTTTGTGAGGACAGATGTTTTCAGTTCACTTGAGTATACATCACAGAGTGGACTCGCTGGGGTCATGTGGTCACGTGTATAACTTTTTGAGGAATTGCTAGGCTTTTTGTAGCAGCTGCACCGTTTTACACCTTTTTTATCTTGGCTTATAGCCGTCCTAGTGAGTGTGAAGTACTATCTCATTGTGGTTTTGTCCTCTGTTTTATTAGAAAGGAGAATTTTGACCAAAGCCAAGCAAGGTAGAGACCAGAGCCAGTCACCCTGGGGAAGTGGATTGTGTCTTTGATAATTGCCACCTTGGAATGACTGTGGCTGTTGAGCCGTGGAGGAGTGTGCTTTGGGGATGGCCCTGGGCTGGACATGATACAGAACAGTTCCTGTCCCTAGGGAAGTTCCTGTGAGAGTCACAGCATTGCTTTTGCTTGGTGTGAAATTCCATGTACATCCAGCAACTTTACAAGTTCTGGTCTGGTTCTAACCCATTGTCTTGTGCTTCTGAAGTGGCATAGACCGCTTACACCATATCTAAGGCGCACTCTCCTCCCTCACATCCCACCTTCTCTTCCAGGTGCTCTCCTCTCTCGTTCTCAGAGCTGGCTCTGTCTCTTATTGCACGTTTCCACTCAGTCATGAGCATCTGTCAACCTCCATTGTGAGGTCATGAGTCTCTTAAGACTTGGACTCCAAGAACATACTGTACCAGAATGGAGACTGTTCCTATACTGGAAGGCCAGCGCGTGTTGACACGTAGCTGGATGGGCAGCAAGTCCCACACCTCCACCTTGGAACCAAGCTTCTCTCACAGCCTCTCTCTCTGCTGCCATTAATGACATTGCATTACTGGTCCATGCCTGTGAAAAATCAGAATCTATGGAGCAGTTCATATTCTGTCACCTGATCTTGTCTGTGGTGGTGCAGAGCTCCAGTGAGACAGGCCCCATCGCCAAGAAGAGGCAGATTTGCCACATGCACATCCCCAGCTTTCTCTGTCATACTACCTGCCTGCTTGGAGCCTCTCCCCACTTTGCATCAAAGGAGAGACTTAAAGTCACGTATCCAAGTTCCCAGCCCTGTTTACTCCTGGGATTCCACAGGCACACCCTAAATCTTTCTAGCTGTGCCTGGCCCTGCATGTGCCCCAGAGAATGGGTCAAAAGGCAAGGGTAACAGGCAGGATGGTGGTGGGCATGAGAGGTGGCAAGGCCAGATGACTGAAGTTAGACCCTAGAATGCAAAAAGCAGCAATAACAGCCAGTGCAAGACCTGGTCCCTTAAAGGAATATGAGGCTGACAGCATGGTCTAAATAGAGCACGCCGGATGGCCAGGGAACCACTGAAGGTGAGCATTGTGAGAGTCACACTATAGACGTTTAGGGGGATGGGGGGGAGGGTCCTCTTGCACTGTTAGTCCTGGGTCCACCTGCAGTGAATAGAAACTAATGTATCCAAAAGGTTAGGGCCCAGAGAGCAGCGGGATCACAATGTTCCCATGGCAGAGATTAAGAACTCCAAAGCCACACACAACCATGTGATCAGCACCAGAAAGTGGCTCCCCTTCACACTGCTGCCTCAACCCTGTCAGCTCCAAGCTAAATGCTTAATTAATGACTGAAACCTACATCACCTCTAAAACCATAGCTGCAAAGCGTCCTTGGAAGTCTTTGTCCCTTTCTCCACCTCTCCATTCAGGAAGGCGCTCTGGCTCTGAGGTCTCCTGAGTCTGCACCAGGGGCCAAAATAGATGCATGGCTACTGCAGCCTTGCCCGGACAAGCCTCGCCTCCTGCGATGCTCTGAGTGTACATTCGTACCTTCTGGACCCCAACCCAGATCTCTACAGAAGGACCTTCCAATCCACTTTATTCAAGTTCCTCTTGTGATTCATAAGATCATGCCCCTTCGAGAACTGAGAAGGAATGCTCTTCCCTATTCTTGCTGTGCAGACCAGCAGCAGCAGCACCTGGGTACTTGTTAGAAACACAGACTCAGACCCCATCCCAGCCTTATTAAATAATCTGTATTTTAACAAGTTCCCCATGAGACTTATATGCATATGACAGTTCAAGAAGCTCGGGAACCAGCAGTTAGCGTAATGGCTATGTCGCTGGACTCCCACGTAGTCGACCGCGGTTCGCGTCCCGGACCCGGTGGCTTAAAACTCATCCAGGTGCGTGTGTGTGCGTGCCCAAGATCCCGAGAGGAGAATGGAGAAGGGATTGCGGCGTGACCATCCCCCCTAGGGGGTGATTTCTCGCTTTCTGTTCTATGTCTCTCTCTGTCTGTCTGGCGAGCGCACGCGCCCTATAGCGAAAAAACTCTCCAAAAAAAAGGAAAAAAAAAAGAAGCTCAAGGTACACATTGTGATCAACATATGCACAGATTCTCTTGTTTTAGGATTTCCCCGACTCTACCCCCTATCTACTCCATTCCCCTGCCCCTGTGGGTTACTCGAATATGTTTCATATAAATCTTTAAATATGCAGGTACCCTTATAAGACAGTATACATTATATCAAGGCATAACAGCCATATGGGGTGGTATCCCCACTGTCTAGATCAGAATAGAAGGTTTGGAAAGGTCCAGTCCCGTGCTGAAGGCCATGCAGAGGTCTTAGGATCAGGCAGGCATGAGTGTGACTCCCAAGCCTCCCTTTGCTGGTGTGGCCTTCCTCGTCTGCAAAATAGCATCAGCCCCACTTTCATTGTCTTGGTTGCTTCAGCCAAATGATGTGTCTTGTTAGCAGGTGGTGGGTGGGTGCCAGCTGCATTATTACTGAGAACATAAGGGTGGAACGCAAGGGCAAAAAGAGGAACCGTGGACTGGCCCCAGTCTAGGAAGCAAGCATGAAGCCAGTGCTTGTAGGTCTTGTGTAGTTTTCCTAACAACCCCAAGGAAAAGACTGTTAGCTGCATTACAGGAGATGCTGGGCATACCCCATAGGGGTGGCAGAACCGTGATTAAACCCAAGTCAGCCTGGTTCTAAAGCCGGTGCTCTTGTCAGTGGAACTGCTGCACCCAAACCTCACACCCTCTCCAGATAATGTTATCTCCTTGGGATAACTTATTCCAGAAGCTGGAAAACCAAGTGAGGATTGTGTGAGAAGGGAATGGTACTGCCTAATCCCCAGAACATGAAGATTCCTAAGCCAGGGGGCCAACAGGTGGTGTAGTGGTTACAACACTGGACTCCCACATGGCCAATGGTGGTTCAAACCCTGAACCCAGTGGCTTGAAAATCACACCAGGTATGTTTGTTTGCCCAAAATCCCAGAAGGAGAATGGAGGAGAAGGAATTATGGTGTGGCCATACCCTCCTCCCAACCCCAGAGGTGATTTCTCTTT